ACGACATCACACAAGGGGGCTTAAGAGAGAAGCTGAAGAGAAAATCAAGGATAAAAATGGATTAAGATATATAGTAGTTACTCCATGGCCTCTCATTTACCATAAGTTGGGCAATTCGTGAAATAGCCACGAAATTGCCATGAGACTGGGTTGACGTATGTGTTTGTGCAAGCGTGCATATGGCATGTGGGTGAGGCTGGCTAGTTACAGTTACGGAAAGTTAAGATACTGCAGGGTTGCTGCTGGTAAGTGATGTAAATGGGTCACGTTTCATGTTTAGGCTTTTAGGTTCCACATGTTTAGTGCGTTACTGGAAGATTTCACACATTTAGTTCTCCACGGATCATTCCTAATGAATGGCATCTTGTGAAATAAAATGAAAAGAAGCATCTATTATTATTATTACATTTATTTATTAGTCTTAATAGCACTTTAAAATTTAATAGCACTTCACAAGTCACAGTTTACAGTCTACTCTGCTCTCAGACAATTTTTTTTTACTCTGTTAAGACTGTGACCAAATGTAGTCTTTTTTAGAGTAAAATTTTCTTCAATTTGAGCAAAATATACTCTCCAAATTTCCCAGTGTAGTGGCTGAACACTCTCTCCATGTAGAAACGCAGCAGACGCAAGAAGCAGCACCTCTGACCCTCCTGAAAGAGACACACAAAGGTCAGAATACAGCACATAGTGGAAGACAGACTGAAGAACAAGTTGAATTAAACAAATATATGTGAAGAAAAGATGACCAAGAAAAGCACATGATCATTACTAACAGGAAAAACAACCCTAAACTACGGAAGCCGAAAACGGCGTTTAAAAAAAATGTGCGGCCATGACCGCTCTCGGCTTCCGTACTTAACAAAATAAACACAATAAACTTTTTTTCTCTCCAAAGGGTGACTTGAACAACTATCATGCTGCACTTTTTTTTTTTTTACTCCATCTGATCGTCCAGCTGCGCGCAACCGCTGCGTATTTTTACATCTTATTTCCCCTGTAGGAGTAACACGTGCATCAACTACTCACGCATTTGATGACATCGCTCTTGAGCTCG